CTTGTAAGTGCACGGTAATCTCAGTACTTTGTGTTTAACTAAGAGTTTTGTTATATTTGTTTTAAATGGAAATGTGACCAGCAATAAGAGCGTGGAGTGCTCTAATGAGTTGCACAGAAGTAAAGAGACGTATGGGGAAATGCAAAGATGAACCCTTAGCTGTAGCTAAAGAGAAGTGCTCACACACTGTATATACACAAAGCATCTAGCTAATTGAATCCCTGGTGAGTGTTGTGGGCTCATTAAACCTTCCAGCCAGACCTCAGTGATCGGTCAAGAACTGAGCACAGATGAAAGTCAACCAGAATCTACTTTACCTGGGGCCAGTCTCCCACACGCCCCCTCACTCTGGCTCCGGCCAGCCTCCTCTGTACCTTTCATCAAATGTTTACACATCCTTGAAATGTTATTATCCATGTTACAGCCTCGCTTTGTGTACATCATATACACCGAAATGCTCGGGCACATGAGCGCACTCAAAATGCACATAATTTTTGTTTCTGTCATCTCCCCGTACACCGTGAAAGACGAATATTTGATTTCTGTTTTCTGCCGTACAACCCGTGAGCATTCCTGCAGGCCTTCACAAGATCAAGGCAGTTCAGTTTGGGGTCAGCGTCAGGGAGTGGAGGTCACTGACGTGTGACCTGTGTGCTCCAGGCAAAAGAGAAAGACGAGAGCAGACAAAGCTGCCTTTAGGACAGTGTATCAATTGGGCATTCACAGGGGAATGAGTCAGTTCCACAGAAAGGAGTCAGAGAAGCCATGAGTCAGAAGCCATACATGTGTAGGTAGTCAGTTTGAATGTTTTTTGAGGTTGAACATTTGAGGCCGCCAGAGGAGAGCACGAACTGTTGATTACACAAAGCTGTTATTCATTTATAAGCCACAAGAGAGAGGGATATTATTTGCGTCTTCTATTTTTCTTGTGTAATCTTGTACTCCGTGTTCACAGTCACACTTAAATTCATTAGGACATAAGGTTAAAGCAAGGACTACTTTGAAACAGTACATTATTGCTATTGGCAGAAATCATATCATAACATCTAATGCCTGCCCCACATCCGTCCAGACACTCATTGATTGTCTGTCTATCAGGTGATCGGCTGTGGGAAGTCCTGCCATTTCACTTGTCACGTCCCCTACATGATATCAAGCATACCCTGTGATGAAATGTTCCAGGCCTAACGCACTGCCAAACTCACCCTGACACTTCCCTTTCATTAGCATCCCATCTGATGAGCTCATTTCCTCGCCAACACTGTTATTCCAAGCCAAGCCTGGAGACAGACAAGCATATGTTTCCTAACACACAAGGCTCCTACTTTCAACCACTGCTTTAGAGAGCCGTTTGATTCGTCAATTTATCATGTATGTCAGAGGGGGGGAAGTTGAAAGCCCAAAAGCTATCGATTGTTTCCATCTTGACAAGAGAAGATGCAGAGCCGCTGGCAATTAAGAGCTTCAATTGTTGTCAAAGCAGACAGTGGTTTGTGTGTTAGTGTGTGAGGCTGGGGGAGGGGTTGCTCAGGGTTCACTTTGCAAGAACACTCAAGTGAAACAAGCATCTGAAGGAGGAAGAGGAAATAAACAAGAGGTGGGGGGGATGTAAAGTAATGTGTAGTGGCAGTGGGTTAAGCGAGAATTTTTTGCATTTTTATGGGCCTGATCTGTAAAGCGCTGTTTCAGCAAGTTGAGGGAGCGCAGACCTCACTGAGACATTGCTTAGATCACAGGCCAGAGATTCTCAAGTTCAGCACTTTTATGATTGCCTCAACTCATATTCACATGCATATGTACAAGTGCACGCACACATTCCCATAAACACGGCCATATAAACACATTCACTTACACCGTCCATAATCACCTTATCAGCCTTGTGCTGCCTGTGGAAGCATCAATTGATTTGATGCCAGCACACGTCATTCCTCTCCAATGCTGTTAAATCCCCCCGCGCATGGAAGATTAGCATCAACATATAATTCTCAAATTAATTTGGATAACAGTATAATGGCTGTGGGGGGGGGAAACAAACTTTATGGATGTGAGGCAAAGCTTGAAATGTCTGTGTATCTGACCATCACATATAATATAGAGCTTAAAGGGGAACTACACCCTTTTTCTTCTCTCAAATCCAAAAACTAGAGTGCTAAAACTCAAATTTTTGATGTCATCAGGTTTTAAAGTCTGGAGCTGCTCCACAGACAGTTCATTTTGAAAGATGTTACAGCTGACACTGAGAGCACCCAGAGGAATGCTCTGAGTATATGGGTACAGTTTCAGTTTCACAGCTGAGAACACTAAAATAGAATAAAGCTCATTTGGGTACAAAGATGAAAACAAACATTCTGTGCATCCACATAATCAGGCTGCCATTCATTCTCTATGGAGCAGTTCCAGACTTTATACTTAATGACATCACAAGATTGAGACTTACTTCCCTGGTTTATGGCTTTGAAAGAAAGTAGCTCATGTTCACAAATACTGATTGAACTTCCCTAGGGCATGGAAATAACATGTTGTAATTCTTAATTTGGGTGGTGTTCCCCTTTAACCAAAAGGATACAATTAGTTACCTTCCGAGGTTGCTGGTGTTGCGACGAGGGAATATGTATGTACTTTAACTCTCTGGGTAGGGCATCAATGAACTTCTAAAGAGAATAATGTCTCAGCGCTTCTTTATGACAGGCTATTGTCTTATCCTTTCCCTAAAATCAGGAGTAAGAGGCTTATCTGATATTTTTCCTCACTAATCCTACCGCTTATGAGTTGTCATTCTAAACATACTTGCTGCTACAATTAGTGACCTTGCTTTGAGGTTATAAGGAGATATTGGCTAATTAGTCTTTAACATTTCTTTAACCCAGTGGTTCTCAAACTTTGGGGCATTGAGCCACTGCAGGTGGGGCGTAAAGGACCAGGGGGGAAATGTGTAGTGAAAAAGTCAAAAGCCCCTTTTACGCTGCCAGATTTTCGGCGAATGTTGGGCCGTTTTGCCGGCAAGCTGCGAGCGTTTAGACACACAGAGCCGGATTGGCGAGTTGATCCAAGGTGCCCAATTTTCCACCTCTTAGGGTAGTCATATTGGCGGAACCCTTTTAGTTTAAACAGACCGAGGTGGCCTTCCACAACGGGAGGAGCTGTTGATGACGCTGCATGTGCGAGCCACTGGCGGTGGATAAACAGGAAACAGCTGATAGCAGGAATGAGCAGCTAGTAGCAAAAGGGAAACACAAACCTGACAGACACTGTAAAGATGAGCAACTGGGGAGACAAGGAATTTTGCGCCCTCCTTGCCCTCGCAATCAAAGAGGCCATTAACTGTCAGATGACGGGGACGGTGAGGAACAGGCTGATTTATGAGAGAATCGCCAACGCGCTGACCAGCTGCGGCTTCCCTCCCACGTCACTGTTTACATCACACGCTGAGCTACATGTTTTGTTACTTGCTCACGCCCCCCCATTGCCCCGAAAAAGGCACATTCTGTATAAACAAAAGTAGGTAGGCGGCATTTTGCTGCACTCCCTGATTTTGCTTTTATACTGCCAATGCTGAAAGAATACTGATTGGGCTTTCCTGCAAATTTGCACAATTCCTGTTTAAAAAGGGCTAAAGTTGCAAGTTGCAAGTGCTTCCCCAATTGTTGTTATTGGCTGATAAAAATTAGAGGTTTGGGGAGCATGAATTTTTGCAGCTTCTGAAGGGGGCATGAGAAAAAGGCCGAGAACCACTGCTTTCGTGTAATCTAATATATCAGGTTTAGTGTGATGACTCATTTCCTGTTAACCTGCTATTCACTTCATTTTATCAGTAACTGTTGATAAATATTGGTACTTTTTGATGACCTTTAACAGAGAGCATAGTTTAAAGAAATAATAAATAAAAGCGCCAAATTTCTGAATGCTTTATGGGAAATAAATAACAGAATAACTGTACGTGTGTGTGTGTGTGTGTGTGTGTGTGTGTGTGTGTTACTCCAATACTAATTAGCTGGACTTTGATTCAGACATAACCCTCCAGTGCAAGCTTGCTTTGCTAAACACAGAGGTAAAACTGCCTGTTCTGTGTCATCAAATCGCCCGTTCAGGCAATAAACAGCATATAATTCATTCCATGGCTGACACTTTTCTGTAGTATAAATGTTAAATCAGTTCATTCCCAAGCCAAACTGTGCTTTGACGTGCCATGATGCTTGGTTATTTCAGCCAAAACAACTTTTGTGTCTATTATACGAAATTAAAACACTTCCCCTCTACATCAGGCAGCTGCTCCAAATGTTAGCCTCCCTGACATCAGCTCAACAACAGCTCTGACAAAATCAACAGCTATAATCCCCGCCGAGCTGCAGGCCCATGGAGCATGCCAGGGATTACAGGGTCCGGCTCACCATGTCTCTCAATTTCATTTTTACAAGGCTCTGCTCAGTCATATTTTCATTTAAAATATTTTCAATCACAGAAGGACATAAAAGCTGCATTAAGTGATTTTGACCACATTTGATGCAAAAGTTATTGCATAATGGAGCTTTTAATGTTTTCCATGCAACATGCCCTGTGTTTCGTCTTCGACAAATGAGGCCCTAATGGTTTTTAGTTTATGTTGAAGAAATGCTGTGGCGCAGTTGGCAGACTTCGAGATGCAGACATTGATGGACTGCACGATAAACTAAACTAAAAACCAAAGAGAAACATGGGTTTGGTTTTTAGTTTATTTGACAGTAAAAGCAAAATTACATCTACCCTTATTTTTTAAGCACAACTCGGTAAAGTCAAAGCCTTATTTCCTCTGTGGTCGTCGATATGGTATAATTACACATTGTTACATACAACAATAAAGACTCCCACAATAACAAATACAGTGCTGCACGTTAACAAGCAGAATAAAGCGAAGTAACACCAGAACATGGCTGGTGTTTGTCAGGCAACCACGTCTTGACAGTCTCACTACAACTATCTGCCTCTATGTAACATCTCACTCCCCTTTTTTCTACTTCACACAGCTATACTGGCCGTGTCGTAGGAAATGGTCTGCACGCCCAGAGGCAAAACCCAGAGGTCAAAGTTCGCAGCCCGAACCCTACGCTGGCTGAGGTCAAGGAGAGGTTGGAGCGCTTCAACCAGGTAGGATAACCATTGCTATTTATATTGAATATGCATGCATAGTTTTGTTTAAAAGAAAAAATGTTTCCAGTGTTAAATATGTCACTACTCTGCAGCATGTTATTTAATCAGCCGAAGTATGATGTAAACAGCAACACTAAAGTCTTAATTAATAGGGCTGTTGTTTAATTAGTATGTCTTGAACAATATAACACGCAGCCAGGAGTGCTGAAACATCCCCGCCATTTCTCTCAGATCCAAAGACTTGTTTTGAGTGCAGAGGCAGATATCAAAGATAAATGAAAAGGATAGCGGGTGAAAGGGAGATGGTGACAAAAAAAAGTGAATTACTGTGGAAAGAGAGAGAAAAAAAAGAAAGATGAGAGGCGGGAGCAAAAGGTCAGGAATGAGTGACAGATAGGCAGAGATGACACAAGCAGCTTCAAAGTGACACTGTTTGTCATGTAGATGGGGTTTAGGGCTGAAAAGGACCAAGAAGAAAAGGGCCATTTCACACAGTCCCTAGAGGCCATTTGAGGAGACAAACGGGCCAGGATTCAGTTCCCCTCTGCCTGCCTGCCCTTTTGTTGCCCTGAAAATTATGCCCACAGATAGTACACCAGCCATCTCTCACTTTCTATCTCTACATCTCTCTTTCTTTCTCCTGTTTTTACCTTTTTTCGGAACCTATTTGATTGCTGAAGCTTCTAATGGAAAACTTCCTGCCATTTTTCTCATTTGTCATCACTCCTCGTCTCTGTTAATGCATTTCTGTTGCTCCCTTCTATATTATGACAATTCTTTATCATTACCTGCCCACGTTTTCTCTCCGTCTTTCTCCGCTTTCTCATCCATACATTTGTTTCTCTTCTCCGTTCACATCTACCTTGTATCTCACATATATCTGCCACCCAGCCAGTCCACCTGTCTGCCACTGACAGCTCAAGATCATTTCTGTCCGACCACAACATCCCATTGTGCACGGTGGCTGTCAAGTATCCCGTTGTCATGGTAACTATGCAGAGTTGAGCGGGTGTCCTGTTGACATTTACAGGGTTGAAAAGCCTACCTTGAATCCAGACCAGGCGGCAGAGCTTGGTTGAGCTTTGTGTTTGTGCCAGATAAGAGCAACGGATCACAGAGTGTTAAACTGCATAATGTGGCGGGCTCTCCAAGGTTTCTCTGGAACAGTTAAGCACAAATATATTTTTATCGCGTGTGTGCCGTCACATGTGCATGCACAATGGGAGCTTTACATTGTAGCAGTGTATATACTGTATATATACTGAACTGCAGCATCAGACACTGTAAAAAATTTGCTTAAAATCTATTTCATTTCTGAATTTAAACATTTCAGCTTCTATTTTTTTACACTTACCTGTGACTGCTACCAACCCTCGTTACTATCCAAAGTGATTCACATAGATCAAAGTTGTTTTGTTTAGAATAAGAGCTATTTATATTCCCCTTACGTACAAAAATAAATGCCTCATACTTCAGTGCGTTCTCTATGTTGGCATAGACACAGCCAATAGATGGCACTAGAGGGCTGAGTCAAAGATGAATGATCCCTTTAAGGGAGGCAGCGTTGTAGACGGCGATTGTCTGTGATCTGCATTTGGACGGACAAATCTTTTCACTATATTACAGATTAATTCCATTATTTAAATTTCCTTGTCATCTCTTACGGTTGTATCTCGCTTGAGCTACGCTACACTGCCTCTACGATCTTCGTTGGTACTGCTGTGTTTTGTTCGTATCTGTAAGCTTTCAGGAAACATGCTCAAATATGGATGAAATGAACGCAGAGTACAGACAGAAGGCTTTGTCCGTCTCTGTCTCTGCATTGAACATTGAGCATAAATGAGTCCTTAGATCCTCTGTGAAAAGCTGTAATAGCCCAATAGCATTTTAAGCTCAAAAGGCCTATCACACTTTTAAAGGCATGCTCTTTAATTTTGTTGTAGCACTCCATAGCATTCCTAAATTGCCCCACTTCACTGCTCTTTGAGCTACATTTTACATGTCCAGTGTGTAGGATTTATGGGCATCTATTGGCAAAAATGGTACAGCCATTCATCCATCCATTTTCTAACCACTTATCTCTTGAGGGTCGCCGGGGGGCTGGAGCCTATCCCAGCTGACATTGGGTGAGAGGTGGGGTACACCCTGGACAGGTCACCAGACTATCACAGGGCTGACACATTGAGACAGACAACTATTCACACTCACATTCACACCTGTGGACAATTTAGAGTCACCAACACCTTTCCCCAATCTGCATGTCTTTGGACTGTGGGAGGAAGCTGGAGTACCCAGAGAAAACCCACGATGACACGGGGAGAACATGCAAACTCCGCACAAAAGGGCTCCCCCACCTGGGATTGAACCAGGAACCCTCTTGCTGTGAGGCAACAGTGCTAACCATCCTCTCTTTCTCTCTGTGTCTCTCTTCTCTCATGGTCCGTAGTCAGATATTCAGTGACATAACTGTCATTTAAACATTGTTTAAATGGGAGAAAATCACATTCCTGTCCAAACATGCTTTAAACAAACAAGGCGACAGATATCAGCATAATGATGTCACCTGTCTTGTTGTCTACCTTTCGAGCAAACAAGGTTGTCACTTGTTCCCGGCTCTCTTTATCCTTGCTGCAGAGCCCTCAACAGATGTTTGGAGACAGGGCCATTATATATGAATCTTCCAGGTGGGCGAGTCTGTTCACAAAATAAGTTCCCATTCAGATTGATTTTGGCAAGCCCATCTGGATCTCTCTCCAAATTACAAACTTTACTGGACACCCTCGGTGCCTTTTAGGCTGTAAAGTTAATTGTAGTTCAATCAGGAGGGAGTAGTTTCGATATATAAAGCATTGTTGATCCACACAGGGTACATTTTTGCTTGTGCAGACTCCATTGTTCGGCACTGACTCAGCTCAGTGATTGTGGACATGAGCTTCATAATGGCTCAGTTATATAATCTTAAACAAAATGGACAAATGGATGATAGAGCAGTAGTGATTAGCAGTCACTGTGTGGATAAGTGAGAGGAGTTTTTGGCTTAGTGAACCTGAAAAGTTGTAGGATAATAAAGGGAGGCAGGGAAGGCATCAAAGTTTTTCAGAGTCCTAAGATCCCTCCACGTTACAGTGCTACACTGCTGTTCTCTCTGTTTTCTGAGATATGAAACCAAGTGCACTGCACACAGTCAGTAGTGCGGGAGGGCCTGGAGTAGGGAGTATTCCCTGCAAATATACAAAGCAGGCCCGACTCTGTCTATTTAGAACGCTTAAAATCTCAGCAGACATCGAGGTACTGACAGTAAAGTTCTTGGCATTGATCAGCAGCACCTGCAAGCCTCTGCTGATATGTTATGGCAAGTTGGTGGAAAGAGCCAGTAAAGCATTACTGATTACATCTTTAAATGAATGTATTCCTTTAAACGTCTGATCCGTTGTTATAAAACAGCAGGACAGTTTCAGAGTCTGGCAGCCTCACACTGTTAATAAAAAAAAAACCTGACCTTGACTGTAAGAAAAAAACTTAACAGAAAGAAACATTGTTAAATAATGCATTTGCTGAGATGTCTCCCATGGACTGATCAAACTAATGTCTCCACAGTTGTTAATTTCGGATCTGTGTGTGTTCCTGAACTTTCATCCTCGCGAAAACCACTGTGAGTTTCAGGCGTTCACACAGCGAGGACATTTTTGAGAAGTTAGTCCTTTGATGTTGTGGAGACTGATACAAGTGATCTATTTGGTTTTAATTTTGTGTCAGTGTTAGAAGTGCAATTAGGCATCTCTGTATGTTTGTTCTTTCATCCTTGGAGCTTGTTTGGGTTGTTGTTTTCACTGAAAGTAAAGAAAATTCTGAAAATGCATTCACTGGACTGGGGATGGGCATCATTTGGATTTTATTGATACTCTTATCAGTACTCCATATCAGCTCTTATCAATTCTTTTTCATTACTAAATAATGCTTTTTAAAAAATATATATCTTTTTAAAAATGAATGAAACAATGAGTTCAGAGCAGGATAAACCAGGATATTTTAGATATAACTCAATGTAGTTTCCAGAGCAGCAACAGTAATATTTACAACAGCAAAGTCAGGGTATAAACTCAATAATATCTGACTGGAAACACATCTGAAATGTCAATAAAATAACTATAATATTATAATATTTCTGACGTCACAATACTGAGTGGAGTTTAGAACGAATGCAGGACAGTATCAGTCTCTCCTAGGGTTGCCACCTTGGATTTGTGAAAAAAAGGGACACTCGACCAAATGTTTGAGGCGGAGGGCTCGGCCATTATTACCAGTTCAGACTGACTAATGAACATGAAATTCGGACATAGGAGTCCAGATTTGCCATCATTCCATGTCCTTCTATGTACCTGTATTTTATATTAGTTTTTATATCAATGAAAAAAACAAATCTGTGTTACTAAATTCTTACATTTTTACATGTATCTCATCATAGCAAGTTGGAAGTTGACATATTCTGCCATATATGAAGAGAGGAGAATCTGGTAATATAAGAACCATGATGGTGGGACATTCTGTCACTTCACAGTTGTCCAAAACATGTGGTTTGTGCCAGGCGGACATGATTGACAATATTTTTTCATTATTGCAAGAAATTCCATTGACTCATTCACAAGTCAAAAATGTGTTTTATCTGAAAGAAACATGCAATATTTACATCTAAGATCATAGAAAAATAGTCAACCAAGTGCAGTGATGTCCTCCAAGATAATATTTGCCACTTTGATTGCAGGCACGTGTCCCCCTCAATGTGTATGGTGACTACGGCCCTGTCAGCATGCATAATTAGGCTACAGTTGTCTGGGTGCACAAAGGTGAAGTGGCTGGTCTTGTCATACAAAGTTTGATGGAGTGTCAACTGGACAATATGGAGATATTTGCATCTTGAAAGCTGGACTACAAATGTGGACAGACAGGGAGAAACACACGCAAGCCTAAGACGTGGTCAGATACGATATTCCTCACTA